GCTCTTAAATGAATTTGGAGAGAGCACCACAGGAAAAAACATGACCAACATAAGCGGTACTAAGCTCATCCCAAAGACCTCTTAGCTTGGTAAAATAGGTAGCAATATCTAAATGACCTGACTAATTTCCCTTTGAAGTTGAATGTACTTAGAACCATTGGAAGTACCAAATCTCTCATTAATGTCAGTCCATATATCCTTAGCAGTGCCAAAACACATTACGTTGTTGGCTATATCCCTAGAGAAAGAGTTTGTTATCCATGCAATGATCATGTCATTGCACATTTTCCAAAAATGATAATAATGAGAGTTAAATTGTGGTTTAGATATCCTACCAGTGATGAGACCTAACTTGTTTTTAGTAGAGAGGGCAGTAAGCATATTTTTGCGCCAAATGACAAAACCATTATCATCAAAGGGGGGAGGGGGGAGGGGGAGGGGGGGGGGAAACCAGGCGAGCACCTGGACTATCCGAGGGATGTATGTAGAAAAGATGTGAGGGAGGTATAGTAAAATCATCAAAACCATCAGCTGTAGTTGACGAACTCACTTCAGGACTACTCATTTCTAAACCCTAGTTAGGTCAATTTTGTGCCGAAAAATATAAAATTGGTATCTACCGACACTTCAACCCAAAATTGAGTAATGAAAGGATATTACCGTCCTTCTTTGCAACCTAAAGAAGAAAGGCCTTCCATTTACCACAAAAAAAAAACACCGCGACTTTTGATATCACCGGTAGAATCAGAAATTGGGGATGAACATACTCTGAAGAATCGAGCCACAAATTTACTAGAAAAATAGCTCACAATCTCTGAAATCCTGTAACATTCATCAGTTATGACCAAATCGATCAAAATCAAAGAAAAATCTAGAGATTTTCCGGCAATGAAAAACTTCAATAAGAAAGGAACTTGAGAAACAAACACCGTCAGTGGACATGTGGAGCCATCAACGATTGACTATAGGCTTTGATACCATATTAATTTATCTATCTTAGTGTAATCGAAAGATTTGATTTGAAATTGAAAACCCTAATAATGAGAAGAAAAAGAGAAAGAGAAAGAGAAGAGCAAAATATTTGAGAAGAGAAAATGAATTTCTTATTATTGTGTTATGTCCAGAATGTTCGTGTATATACAAAATAAATCACTAAATGAAAATGGGTCGGGTATACATAAAAGCCCAAACTAAGTATGAAACAATGAGGCCCAATAGTTAATTCTTTTAGCTGCTGTCAAGTGGCCCAGTATTGTCAACAGAGCCACCTTATAGGAAGGGGTGTCTAATAAGACCCCTTCGCGAAAAAAATATACTGTGTAGGTAGGTAAATTTTTTTATATGTATATATACTATGTATTGACTCTCCTTAATTTCGTGGTATGTTTACTTTTATATATTTTGATACCTCTTAACGAAAATTCTGGCTTCGCCACTAACCGTTTATATGTGTTGTTGAATTTTTCAACGAACTTGTTCAATGTAATAGAGCAGTTGGTGAACATGGCTAGATAACTAACCAGTCAAGAAATCCAGTTCCGTTGTGGTGCATTTTTATATGGTGCACAACGTGGCAAAGGCACACTGTTTTCAATATGACACGATGTATTCTGGAATATATACGTGTCCTCTATAAATAGTGACTTTTACTACTGGAACAACATATATTTAATTTGTACATTTTTAGTTCAGATTTGCTTGTATGAAATTTGAAAGTATATATATATATATATATATATATATATATATGGCAAAATAGCCTCCTGACCACCTAAATTTGAACTCGTTTGTCAATTCGTTAAACGAATTAGAACTTTCCCATTTGAACACCTGAATTGAATGAAATAAATATCAATGAACACCTCCATGAGAGCGTAAGCTTCAATTGCCTAACAAGAATGACAATTCACATTCTATGCTTTTTATTTCTCGACACGTGTAATTTGTGGGTTCCACTTTTTAATTATCAATTTACTAAATTTCTAATGTATCATTTTTCTTTCTCTTCTTCACTGTCAGGTCGCAACTGTTACTCCACCATAACTTCACCACCAGCACCATCACACACCGTCAAGTCAAGCCTAAATGGCCAAACCCAAATGTAACCGAAACTACTCCTTCTACGCCTTCTTCATCATCACCAATTTTACCTATCCACTTTGATTTCTCGACAAAAGCCATCATTTCACCCTCCAACTCCATCATTTTCAGCCGCTAAGCAATTTGGCCTGGTAACGAGAAATTTTACTTTGTGTGTCATATGCCATGTAATACTTGCATGAGACTCTTATTTAATGACATCTGTAATTTGTGGTCCCATCTGTTCAACCTTTTCTCCTTCAATTCGTTTCTTCAATTCTTTTCTTTCTCTTTTGTTTTAGAGCCCGTTTGGATTAGCTGATTTGAAGTAGCTGATAAGCATTAGTTGCTGAAAAGCACTTTTAAGTGCTGAAACTGTTTTAATAAATAAGCAGTTACGTGTTTGGGTACAAGTGCTGAAATTGATAATAAGTTGCTGCAGTATTTGATAAAAAAAAAAGTGCTGATAAGCTCTTTTTCTATTAAAATGACTTAAATAACCTTAAAACTGTTTACACTTATAAGGGCTTAATTTCTTCAAAATTTTAGATTTCAGATCGATTCAAATACAAAATATTCTATTTTTTATTTTATTTTAGATACAACTGTGCTTAGATAAGATAATTTTTATGATAACTATAATTTATTTTATGATAAGCATATAATCATAAGTTATACTCCCTCCGACCCAATTTATGTACTGAACCAGTTTGACTGTACACGGAGCTTAAGAAAAAATGAAGACTTTTGGAATTTGTGGTCCTAAACAAGTCAAAAAGGGGCTCAGAGTATTTGTGTGGTTATAAAATCTTCTCATTAAGAGTAGAATTGTAAGTTTAAGCTAAATTATTACCAAATTTAGAAAGGGGTCATTCTTTTTGGAACAGACCAAAAAAGAAATAGGTTCACATAAATTGGAATAGAGGGAGTAAATTGACAAAAGTTTCTCAGTAAAAAATAAACCTAAATAGGACAAATTATTTGAAGAGAAACAAACATTGTCTTCATCACCGCAATACTTAGAAAGCAATACACCAAATTTTTGATATGTCCTCATTTATTACATACTGTTCAAAGATATAAATATTAATACACAATCACACAGATATAATTTTGGTAAGGAAGAGAGAATTTGCTTATCTTAAATAGTCAATGAGAATTGCAGACTTGAAGAGGTGAGGAAGGGTGAGGGGTGAGGGGAGGGGGGTTTAGGTTGAATACTTGAGGCAGTGGGTATTGATGTATGAATTTTGTTCTAAAAAGAAATATTTTAAGAATAAAATAGTAAAAATTTTGGTCAAACTTAAAGTGCTTATAAGCTAAAAATTCATAAGCTGGGGGTGACCAGCTTATGACTTTTAGCTTATTTTTGACTTATAAGCACTTGGTTTATAAGCACTTTTAACTTTACCAAATGTGTAGATAAGCCGAAAAGTACTTATAAGCTAGCTTGACCAACTTATAAGCTTAACAAACATCCTGTTAGTTCTTTTCTTTTTTCTTAACACTTCAACTTCCTCCTAAGTAACAGACCTATTCGATGGGTGTGCGATTCTGAGCTTTAGATTCAATGGACTACTTGTGTTCTTTTTAAAATTGGGATACTATGAGTATCTCGCACTCACTCCTTGAAGTTTTGAGAAAGCTTAACCCAGATAAATCTCCATGACATTCAAAAGTGAGAAAGAGAGTACTAAAGAAGAAGATATTTGCTGAGAAAAAAATCTGATTTTTTACTTTAGCTTTTCATAAAATTGAAATCAACAAATTATTGCTCCATAGATACTCTGCCAATCTTAATTGAAAATTTTACGAAAGTATTCTTTTATGCCTTTTTATCATTTTCATAGGGAAAAAGAGGATAGAGGAATTCGGACAAAAAAAGAGAGGGAGAAAGAAAAAAAACTAAAGATTATAGAGGTTGTATCTGCTTTTTACTGGGTTTCTTGAACAGTCTTAATTATATGTCAATGTTAATGGTGCTTTTTTTTTCTTTATGATTCTTTCTTCTTTTTTTAAATATTTATGGGCTTGAAGTTTGACTGTCTTTTAAAAATGGCTAATTGCTTGAGAGAAGAAATTAGAGAACGAATTAGAAGTATTGAATTCTGGTAAATGAACACATTGAGTCAAGGGAGTTGGAGAAATTTGGAAGAGAAAAATTAACGGAGCAACGGTTGGAGTTGGCCAACTTTTGCTAAGAAGTGGGGCCCAAAAATCCACTTGGCAAAGTTCTAAAGGAGTCTGTTTGAGTCTCATTCAAAATAAAACGTCTCTTGGTAACGGAGCAGTAAAAATTTTCATCGGCGTCGATCCCATCTCCCTCTCCTCCATATAATTTCCTCCTGTTATCCCTTCTACCTTCAACATTCTCTTTTAAAAAACTAAAAACTAAAAAAAGCACCTTTTCGACAAGAAGAAAGGGGAGAAAAAAAATGAAGAGATTGGGGACAGGAAGAAGGAGGGGGGGCGGGGGGTGAGAAATGAATAGCAGAAAGGGAAGGGGGCAGAGGGAATTGGGGGGGGGGGGGTTGTGGAGAAAGAGGGAGTGGGGAGACGAGTTTGACTTATTATATTTGCTTTTTTAAATTCTTTTAGTTATTAATTCTTTTGAGCAATTTTTTAATCAAAATTTCCTTACCAACGCCTTTTAAGCCTGATTTGCATGCACCTATGCCACATAAGCATAGTCAATATGGCCAGCGGTGTTTATTGATGTTCATTTCATTGAGTTAAAGTGTTCATATTGGAAAGTTCTAAGTTACTTTACCGGGTTGACAAACAAGTACAATTAGCTAGTCCAGATGCCATTTTGCCTATATATATAAAACCGTCTTTTATGGATTAATAAAATTTCACAGAAAAAGATAATCATCCGAAAACTATCATAACACAAACAATGTGAATAAATTAATGCAAAATAGTCAGTAACATCCACCTTATGATATTAATAGAACATTTCAAAGCAACATAGCTCGAGAATATTTCAAAACATTCACCTTAATATTGTCCATAAAGTTTAGCTAAAAAATCAGAAAGAAATGAAAAAGGTGAATTTACAGTACTCCTCAGATAGATAACTGCGGTTTTCCTTTATTACTTAATAGTATAAGCTATTATTCAATGCTAAAGATAAGTGAAAGTTGGACTTTTGAGGGACATTCACAGCATCCAACCAGGCACCATACCATTGACGTTTTGAGCATTTGTTACTGCTGTTATTTGGCTTGAAGTAGTTATTGGATCGTACCTGTAATAAATGAAAATATAGAATTTTAGTTTTAGCCCAGCACTTTTAATTTTTTTCTATTACATGGGGGAATTAGAGAAGGGGAAGGAAAAAGGGACAGTGGGAATATTTGAACCACACCAATTGTGTGAAAGGACTTCCACCAAATACTACTAGATTATAAGTAATAAATTGCTCAATTTTAATCACCCTCATTACACTGGGATCAATAGTTTTACTACCACTTGCTCCCATACGTTTCGTTCCTCCAGACCGTCTGCAGGGGCGGATGTAGCCCTATAGCAATGCGTGCAAAAAATTATTAAATCATACTCCCTCCGTTCCAGTTTATGTGAACTTATTTCTTTTTTGATCCGTTTCGAAAAGAATGACCTCTTTCTAAATTTGAAAATAATTAAGCTTAAACTTCCGATTCTACCCTTAATGAGAAGCTTTTATAACACACACAAATACTCTTGGGCCCATTTTAACTTGTTTCAGACCACAAATTTCAAAAGTCTTCATTTTTTCTTAAACTACGTGCTCAGTCAAACATGTTCACATAAATTGGAACAGAGGGAGTAATAAATAGCAGATAGAATCCATAACTTTAAGAATATAATAAGTTCAATACTAAGAACATTAAAGGTTGAACCCACGAGTTAAAATCCTAAATCCGTCTCTGGTCGGTTGTTTGTTGAGGTGTTTCACACTAGAGCAAGCCTTACTCGTCATTTAACCATCAGTTGCAAATGGAAATAAAAGTAACATAATGACATGACAATTTAGAAGTAGGTAGAGTTTACCCAATTTGCAAAGTAGAGTTGCAGTCTAGAGGTTGAAAGAAACCCTGAGATTGAGCATGTTGCTGACCATAAGTGACACTTTGCTCACCACCTCCCCATGGTTGCTGCAGATTGTTTTCAGCATATATTTCTTCCAGCTAAAACATAGGCAATTTAACACAATTTGGAACATCCATAAGACAAATAATAAGGTAAGGCACATATTCACATAGGTGAATAAAATTGATGATAAAATCAGGAATGATATATTTCTAACAACACCAAACAAGAATCAATATATGGGATACTGGGAATACAACATAAGTCCTAGGATAATCTAGCAAAAGAGAGTTACAATCACATGTATGGGCTACCCACCCTACCTTTCTTTCAAGTACCTTATTAGCCTCAACCCACAATTTCTCCTGTACATATAATAAAACGCTTACGTGAATTACTATTGAATACATGAGATGTTGAGGTGAGAAAACATTTCCCAACCAATTAATGAGAATTACCTTAGATTGAAGATCAGTAAGCTGGTCAAGCATCAGTTGTGTCTACAAAACATCCAGAAGGTACAATAAGAAACATATATACTTGAGTCTATTCAGTGAAATAAGATGATTTGTAAATGTTACTATGCCCAGCTATTGAACTTGAAAAAATGAAAAAATATTTTAAAATTCTGGCAGATCAGCCGTCGCAATTTTTCTTAATGGTGAAATTTTAATATGTTTATATTACTAAGCTTACCCTGGTGGACCTAATGTGTTTGAGGGAAGTATCTAGTTGGACTTCAAGATGATCAAGATCATCGATATTCAGAGGCCCCAAGTCTTCTCCAAGAAGGTGTCTGTCAAAGAAAATGTCAAGTATAAGTTGCCAAGAGATGTACATCCCTGTAATATGTCACATAATTTAGGTTGCATGATTAAGGTTAGCTAGATGGTTTACCTTTGATATCGCTGCAGTGACTCATATTTGGCTTTGAGTTTCAAGTATTCCCTATAGCTGCTTTGCTGCAATGAACGAGATGATCAAGAACTTCAAAGATGAACCATTATTTTTAATACAAAAAAAAAAAAAAAAAAAAGGAAATATATTGTGCAAGCAAGCATTCTTTATTTCTTTCTCACATAAAAGGTGAGGGTTCGACTCCTAAAAAGTTTAAATCTTTCTTACTCTTTTCGCAAAAAAAACTAGAAGGAAAAATTCTGATCAAATTAGCAGCATTCATGTCAGAAACCAATCAAATGACACTAGTTATATACTGTGGCAAAATCATAGATATTTTTTATTCCTTTGTTCTAAGGGATGGCGGAATGAAGTCAAATAGCTTTTGTTACCTCATTATCTTTGATTGATCGGTTGACTTCCAATGTACCATAGCTGCACTTTTGGTACCTATCAAGGGTTTTGAGCATACTGATATGCATAGGAAAAATAAAAGGAAAAGTTAATTGTTAGTGTACCACAAGAGATGTATGTGTTACGAGTCCAAACCTTAGGGAATATTTGTCTAATAATCATCCTTAATATGTCCCATCTATCATCAGGGGCGAAGCTACATAGCCCTAATGGATGGTGGTCAATTGACCACCCTTCGTCCAAAAATTACAGTGTATATATAGATAAAATATTAGATATTAGAGTTATATAATATATATTAAACATCCTTTATTGAAGATTTTTTTTTACTTCTTTCAAGTTTGAACACACTAGATAAAATTTTTGGCCTCGTCACTGTCTATCATAGGTTATTATTACTGGAAATCTGGAAAAATTGGGAGATATGAACGATAGTCTGTGTTATTTCTTTTGGCAGATGTATTCTACCCAAAATTTGTATTTCAGATACGTTACTTAAGGACTGTTTTGCTTTACTTTGTCACAGACATCATACAGAAGTTAATTAATCAAGAACAATGATGTCAACTTTCCCCCTTAGCTTGCAATAATAGGTAATAAAAAATGCTTCTATGAACCCAAATATTGGGAATTGCAATACAAGCATTTAGTGGATGGCATATATATGTCATAAGATTCGATTAGGAACATAATTTCACTCAATCATTTTCATGATTTTAGATAATTATATTAGAAATTTACCGTACTTCCAGTGTGGCCCACATATTAGAAAATAAATTATTTACCTTGTCTCCCAAGTAAATAATATATTAGATAATATTTTGTAGTTATGCATATATGATAGTTTCTTTGATGGTAAGAAACCAATTTTACTAGGAGTCCCTAGGGCAACTGTAATTTATGGAGAAGTCCCTAGGGCTAAAGTATTTGCCTAAGAGTCTCTAGCCTACCTATAAATACGTCTATGACTCCATCAGTCTGGTATCCTACGGTAGGCACATGCTAGAAGGCTGTTAGGTTTTCCGTCAAAGTTTTCCAAGGGCGATTCTCTACAACACTTGAACGATAATGGCTGAAGGTAGTTCCTTGTTTAATTTTCGCTCAACACTCGATTTGATCCTTCTTTCTTTTCTCCTTCCACTCTTGCCTTGCCGCGATGACGCTATGTATTTATGTGATTTCTACAAATTATACTAAACAAACTAAAGTTTTTACTCTAATGTTACTTTTGCCGTCACTACTCGATGTATTTGCCTTCACTAAAGGAGTCACTACTTCTCTTTACTTGACTTAGCACTTCAAATGACACCTAAATGGAAATTTGTTCCACTTATGATTATGAGGTGCCAAAATAACATATATTTGATGAATTAATCGAGGTTCGTACGAGTTGGATTAGATACAACTTTTTTAAGAAGTAGCAGTGTAGCACTAGACATGCCAAATAAGCATAGAAATGACACTAGATAGCTACTCTAAAGGGTTGCTATTTATGAATTAGCCAGTACCTCCTGAATTTCAATTTTCAGGACAAAAATATCATGAATTGTCCTGAAGTTAAGATTTATAATTTAAAAAGATGGATAAAATAAATACTGCATAATTTCTAAATAGCATTTCTGAGAATGACTATCTATATACACTTGCCCCCAAATAAGCTTCAAGAGGGTTGGTTAAGGGGTTGCCAAACTTTAAGCTGAGCATATCCCAGAATCACTTCTGGAACTCTAATTGAGGACAATTGACGCCTCAATACAAAATGTAAACTACAAGTAGACTTCTTTAATTAGCTCCCGAGCCAAGTTACATTACATCAGCTACATCGTGGTACTACATATGCTACAGCCAATTACCCAATAAACATCTTAAATCTTTTTCTCTTTTAATTAAAAAGCAATATACGATGGTCAATTGCATTACCTATTATAAATGCGTACGATCACACAGAAAAAAGGGATAAAAAGATGGATCTTTTAGACTAATTTGCTAAAAGGTGAAGCCTTTGGTAGAGTTTTGCCTTGCATCATAAAAAGATAAAAGAATTTATCATGTAACCTAACAGGTGCAGGACTGGACAGTGTTTTATCTGGTTACTCCAAGGTTTTTTAAAATGTACACAACGTAGTAATTAATTACATACTAATAAAACACTCCTCCAGATCTGCCGGTACGGCTAGGAATGTTCATAAAAATCCGAAAAGTCGAACCAAACCAAAAACTGAACCAAACCAATAAAAAAAACCCAATATTTTTTAAGTTTGGTTTGGTTTTGGTTTTGAATTTTTAAAACCAATCAAATTTGGTTTGGTTTTGGTTTTAATAAAAAAATAACCAAACCAAACAATATCAAACCGACAATAGAAGTAGCTATTTGAATTTATTATCACACCTATATATATATATGTATATTTTTGTATAAAGTTTCTAAATGTTATGGTACATATTAGTTCTTTGTCTTTTTAGTCTAGCTCTTTGCTATTACAATAATCTAATGTTTTGCCTTTACATTCTAGTTTTGATCTGTAGTTTTCTTTTGTTAAGTACAAGAACTTATCTCATGTTAAAAATAATTGATTTTTATAAATTGAGTACTCAAATTATTCATCACTATTTGATTCAATTATCATTAATATATCTTGGTAAATGATAGATTTCTCAAAGAGCAATTGGTTTGATAGTGTTATGTTGAAAATATAGTCGCTGGAATATGTGTTTGGTAGTGTATGTCTCATATTTAAGAAAAAAACCGATAAATAACTGAAAAAATCGAAAAATCGATAAAAACTGACAAACGCTGAATCGATAAAAAATACTTAATTGGTTTGGTTTGTTTCCAACATTTTTAAGAACCGACTTACTTATTTTGGTTTCTTTTTAGGAAAAAATCGATCCAAACCGAATAATGAACAACCATAGGGACGGCTACTCTGCCATCTTACCCTTTTCTCTTAACTTCAAACAAGAGATTTTTGGTATATATATATACACACACTAGGATTTTCATGTTATTTTATTTTAAACCTAAAAATGAATGAAAGAAAACTCATCTTCAAGTAGTACTGATCGCTGATAATCCATCAAAGGAAACAGATCTTGCATAACATAGGGTAAAATTGGTGGGAACTATATTAGATGTACAACTAAAAACCTAATTTTGCATTGGACAAGATCCAAGAGAAACACATACTAAGGCCCCGTTTGGCATTTTGCCAAAATAAATTTGGGATTTATTTTCAAAATTCGTGTTTGGCCATAAATTTTGCCCATATTTTGGCCAAATCCCAAATCTCAAATCTCAAAATCAGCTATTGAGCTGATTTTGGGCAATAGCTGATTTTGGGCCAAAATCTCAAAACTTGGGAATTATATATATGTTTTTCCAAAATAAAGTTGGAAAATATGTTTTGATAACGTATGTCCAAACACATTTTCATCTTCAAACCAAACTTAACCCAAATCAGATTTTTCAAAATAAATTTGGAATCCATGGCCAAACGCTAGCTAATATAGAGCTACAAAAACCAAAATAAGGGTGAAACAAGAAGCAAATGACAGCCAAAACAAAAGCAAGGACAGATCTTACAAATAAGAGAAATTAAGAGATGGAAATATAATAAGTACTTGTTGGAGCTGCAGAATTCATAAAGCTTGCCACGATTAGAGAAAATGATGAGAGCAACCTCAGCCTCACAAAGCACAGAGAGTTCATAAGCTTTCTTAAGCAATCCATTTCTCCTCTTTGCAAAAGTAACCTGCCTATTTATCTTGTTCTCTATCCTCTTCAGCTCCACTCTTCCTCTACCCATCCCCTTCTTATATATTTTTTTATTTTCCACTTTCTTCTCTTGGGTAACAACTGATCCTCTTTTCAGTTCTACTGGTCAACCAAATTTGTGAAAGAAATGAACAAAAGGAACTGCAAACCCTAGCTAGAGCCTTTATCTTTCTTAAGTCTATATGTTCAATGCAGAGAGAGAAACAAAAGAAAAAGTGAACATGGGTTGTTGTTGTTCACTTTATCTTCTTCTTGTTTTAGGATTCTTTGTTTTAACCTTAGGATTTGCTTAGGCACTCCAAATTTAGATACCTCAAAGCTTTAGGGTTGGTCTTGTTTCCACTGAAGTTTCATGAATTTAGCCAATGCATTAAAGGGATGTCTTGCACGCGATTTCTGAAGCGTGGTGAGCACGCCGGATGAGTATTCGAACTTTGAGCGACACGCGTCTAGTTAAGTGTTAATGCTTTGGGTTTTCCATTTGCGGTCCATCAGAAAAAAAACAAAGTCGTGTATTGAATTAGTTGAACACGCGTCTATTGACTAGTGGTTGTTACATATATATCATGCACCAATTTTCAATTACAAATTTTCGAAAAAGATATACTCTTCCTCGCTTTTAAATTAAATTTCCAAACTTACCAATATAAAACCCATGAAATATTTGTTAGATTGTATGAAATCAAACAAAAATGGAGAAGAGATCAGAAACCTAAACAGGGACAAAGAAGGTTCGAGAGAGAAGAGCTCTTCAAATATTCTTCCATAATGACCCGTTGGTCTCAAACCCGGAATCAATAGTGTTTATATACAAGCCCAATTCTAATTGGGTCAAACCGGTCAAAACCAAAAGACCAAAAATTACATATCTGCCACTAAACAACTAAACTAACCAATCTAAAAATAATTACAAAGTCCACAAGTACAAGGCCCAGAATAACAGCCCAAATACAAATATAAATCCAACACCGCGCTCTCAAGTTGGAGGGTGGTTGGCCACACCCAACTTGCTCAAGATAGACCTGTGAGTGACACTTGGGAGTGGTTTAGTCAGCATATCGGCTAGTTGTAATTTGCTAACTTCAGGAAGTGGCTGCATCATCAGAATATTTCCTCTAGCATTGTTGAATACCTCATTCAAACCCATCAAAAATTGCATCACTTTCTGATTTTCCATCTTTTTGATCATTTTGTGTTTACCTCCACATTTGCATTCACAACCACAAAAGGAATCAGCATCAAGTGACTCCATTTCATCCCAGGGTCTCTTTACCCTAGTGAAATAACTTCCCACATCAGAAGAACCTTGAGATATAGTACTTAGGTCCTTTTGGACTTCATACATTTTAACACCATTTGCTTGCCCATACCTTTGGTTCAATTCATCCCATAGACTCTAAGGTGTTAAGAATCCAGCTAATGATCATGTTATTGCACTGTTCCGCTGTGTTCAAACAAAGGGGAATCGGGAGTAGGCTGGACATAGCTCCCATTAATGAATACTAATTTCTTCTTTGCTCCCAAAGCAATGATAATGCCTCTTCGCCAGGCTCCAAAACAGTCCCCATTGAATTGTTTGGTCACGAGAATAGTACCAGGATTGTCAGAGGGATGATGATAGAATGGGTGAGAAGGAGGTAAACAAAATCAGTTTGAGTAAAAGTAGGAGAGTTAGGATCGGTTTCAGAGGCGGTTGCAACATTTTTATTTTCCAAGAGTAAAGAGATACAATATGCAAGAGAAAGAGAAAAACTAGGGCTCAGACGATAAAAGCACAATGAAACCAGTGAAATGAATGAGCCGAAGTGAGAAAAATTACAAAAATAGCGGGAGAATCCTTCGAGAAAACAGAATCAAAAGGAAAACTGATAAATCGGCAAAAGCAAGCTTGTCGCCATCAGGTATCACTGAGCAACCACAACTTTAATCCACAAACTGAAGAAAGACGGCAGCTAAATCACAAATTTCATCCACAATAGACTTCGAAAAATACTGGATTCATCATAAAATTTGGAATATTTGGCTAGAATCTTCGAAAAAATGAAAAAGAAGAAACTAGGTTTTCCAATTTTCTGGAAATATGAAAAACAAGGAAATTGAGGTACTAAAAATCGGAGATTACACCGGATCTTTGATGATTATGCTCTGATACCATGTTAGATTGTATGAAATCAAACAAAAATGGAGAAGAGATCAGAAACCTAAACAGGGACAAAGAAGGTTCGAGAGAGAAGAGCTCTTCAAATATTCTTCCATAATGACCCGTTGGTCTCAAACCCGGAACCAATAGTGTTTATATACAAGCCCAATTCTAATTGGATCAAAACCAGTCAAAACCAAAAGACCAAAAAAATGTACATATCTACCACTAAACAACTAGACTAACCTATCTAAAAATAATTACAAAGTCGAGAAGTACAAGGCCCAGAATAACGGCCCAAATACAAATATAAATCCAATAATATTGATTTTCAGGATGCATGGTTGAGTTTGTTCAGAGGCGGAGCTAAGATTTGAAGTTTATGGATTCTATACTTGACGTCGAATCCATAACATGTCTTAGTTACTGGGTTCGCAATTATATACTAATACAAATTTAATAGATTTTTCTAATACAAATACAAGATCTATACCAAAAGCTGTTGGGTTCGGCCAAACCCATAAATAGTACCCTACATCCGCCCCTGAGTTTGTTGTTGACACTTTAAATAAAGATAAGCTAATATATGACTATGTGATAAAGGTGAAATGCTATATTATTTGATAATTTAGCTAAACATTTTCATCCAAAAATTTAACCTGCACTCATTTGTCAAAAGTTAATTTTGTTGATTTCCTTAATATTGAATTGGATGTAGTTCAATTACCTTTTCAGAATAAATCTTAGAATTTTACTAAATAAAAAATGTGACGACATAATTTAGTCAAAGATATTTTTTTTCTTTGCGGATTAGAAAAGGGATGATAGATTTACTGATTTTGCAACACAAAGAGTATTTCTTTCTTCTCCTTTTTTTTGGGATAATGAGATGTCGAGTCAATTAGTTTTGTAGCTTTTTACAAACTTGTTTTTAGTTTTATAACCCTACATTTTTTTTTTACGCATGAGAGTTTTACTTTTACACGTAAAAGATCTATCTTTTACAAATAAGAGATCTAAAAAGATCTTTTTTTAAAAGTTATAAATTGTAAAAGGACATGATATATAAATAGCAAGAATATGAGAAGTTAAAAGTGGACCAATTGGATTCTATAGCGGTAATTATGTCATCGTGGCACCTTTTGAACAAAAGACATGACATTTCTGCTTTTTGTAAACTGGAAAAAAAAAAAACTCGTTTATTTTGAAATTTTCAGTTAAGTGGCACTAAATTAACACGAATAAAACGTAACCACTTTTAGTAAAATAACAACATCTCAGAGCACTTGGAAAAAAGGAAGTGACAATATAATGAGACTAGGAGTACAATCGACTTGATTAATAGGCTTTTTGGTCAATGACTTTCGGTGTCTAAACTTCAAGTGCCTCTTTGGGAAATTATGTTAAACATTGTAGATCTAGTGTACATCAAACAAAGCGTTGTGGCTGCTTTTTATGGATTTTTTAGCCTAAAAAAAGATTAAGGCAAGTAACCACATATATATTTTATTGGGAAAAATTGAGTTTACATATTAAAAAAGTGTGAAGATGACGTGTCATGACACGTAGGCTGGTCAAATAGTCAAAGAGTTACAGTTAGCCAAGAGGCACGAGTAGTAATAGATGCGAGCAAAAGCAAAGGAAGAGGCACGGGCGGTTATTTAAAGGATTCAGCGCCCGTACCTGTTCAAGAAATTTAAGTTCAATAATCAAGAAGAGTCAAGGGAATGAATCTGACAGCATACGAGGGTCCAAATACAGTATTTGATAAGCATTAAATGCTGAAAACGTTAGAGAATCTGTCTTAAATGTAATGATTATGTAACGTAGCATTCAATGTCATTTATTGCCCATAATAACCTTATTATGACCAAAACAAGGCACTTACATCCGAAATAGCTATAAAAGGAGAGGATTGAATAGTTGTAGGGACACAAAAAAAATCATCTGAATATACTTTGGTTTACTTGTTTTATTCAATTATATTTAGGCTATTCAAATTACTTTCTTTTATACATTCTTGCGATTATCAGTAACCTGTGTTCTTCTAAATTATAGCTTTAATCAAAATTCCATTTTTTGGTTAAACAAATTGGTTCCGTTACCGGGAATCTGATAATCCATTTTATCTTAGCCTAACTTTCCTTGTTGCATCAACCATGTCGAACAACAATGACAACATTCAAGGAAACCAAGAAAATCAAACAACCCAACAACTTCAGGGAGATCCACAGAACAATAACGTACTGATTCCTTCTCCACGAGGCTCTCCACGGCGGTCTCGTGAAGGCACTCCTGATGGGTCTCATACAGATGGACAAGCTCAATTCGAAAATGTTGAAACTATGGATGAGGCTTTGCAAAAACTTATTGCCTCACAAGTAAATAAAGCTCTTCAGGCTTTTGTTAGCCAATTACCTGCTGCACCACCCACACCCACTCCAAATAACAACACTCTAGAGAACCCTCGTTCCGGGCTCGTTAATTCAGGTATTGGTGGAACCCCCAGCGAGTCACAGGAGGGAGAACCAGGTAACTTAGTCAATTCTGATTTACAAAATTTAGTACTAACATTGCAGAAATAGCTCAAGGAGCAAAGTGATCGCATAGAACAAATACCCGGGGTGCCACATGTGATCAAAGGGGTAGATATGGATAAATATTCACAACAACCCTGGAAGCCAAGTACTGCTCCCCTTCCAATCCCAAAGAAATTCAAAATGCCTGATATGCCAAAATACGATGGAACAACAGACCCACGAGACCATGTGACTGCATTTACAACAGGCGTAAAAGGCAACGATTTGACTAAGCAGGAGATTGAATCAGTATTAGTCAAGAAATTTGGTGAAACACTCACTAAAGGTGCACTAACATGGTATTCTCTTTTACCCGAAAATTCTATAAATTCTTTTGCTGAGCTTGCAGATTCTTTCATCAAAGCACACTCGGGAGCTCAAAAAGTCAAAAAAAGAATGGAAGATATTTTTAAAATTAAACAAGGGGACTCAGAATTGCTTAGGGAATTTGTAGACAGATTCCAGCGTGAAAGAATGACATTGCCACGTGTACCAGATAACTGGGCAGCGATAGCTTTCACAAGCAATTTGAATGAGAAAAGCTCAGAAGCTACGAGGCGACTCAAGGAAAG